TGTGTGTAAACGAACTGTAACAAACGTTTATGTACCAAATAAAGTTAATAATAAATGTCAAAAAATTTCAAAATTATACATGCGTGTGTATGTATTCCAAATTATACAAAAACATGTGTTGTGTCCAAAAACAACGTGTCCAATTGAACGGTGTGCAAATGAAATGTGTCCAAACGAATTGTGCGCAAGTGAAATGTGTCCAATCGAACGGTGCGCAACTTTATGTGTCTAATATCACAGTGTGCCATTGCAACGTGTCCAATTGTACTGTGCGCAAGTGAGCCTCTCCCGCCAGATACGATCTTTCACGTATCAATTCGCAAAACATACAAAATAAGCGCGAAATAGACGCGAAAGAAATTGCCGGAATTCGCCACGGGCTGACTAGCTCGCCTAACGGTAGAGGCGCAGGGCGAGTGTTGTCCTAACGCGATAATTTATGCAAGAGGTGACAATTACGGAAACGACAAACACAACTGAAAAGAAACTCGCCAATTAAAGCCCATCTTCAATTTTTCAGGACTTTTTAGACGTTCATTAGTAAGCCTAAATGAATATCTCTATAAATTTTCAAAACTTTTGGAATTATTTTTTTTATTTTTCCTTCGTTGACTGGGCTAATAGGGTTTGAGCTCGAAGAGACGTCTCAGATCTAAATAGAGGCCGTCGGGACCGTTATCCTCTTACACGTCCTCGCGTATCTCGCGCTCGTGCCATCGCACCGCTTTATTAAATCGCCGGTGCTCAAAGTTTAGAAACCCGGGAATGTTTATGTCGCTCGTACATTGATACTATAAATTAAATTGAATCGAATTATAATATATATTATAAATAATTAATGTAATATAAATTAATAAAATGCTACTAACTCTTTGGAAAACCACCAGATTTAACAAGGCTCCCAATGATGGTAAAATGGGTAAGATAAAACCGCGCTTCCCTATAGGAAGTATTCGTTTTTTCACAGTCTTTCTCTTCATCGATGATTTTTTTGTTTTCATCGATGAATTTTTTGTTTTCATCCCCATACCGAATTTTGTCTTTGCTTTCATAGCCACCCAAACAGCTGTAGCGGCTGCTCTTTCGCCAAGAGTCGAATCTCTCGCGGTAATACGTGTTCGCACTTTCGTGGCGAGTATATTATCCGCAACGTGTCGTTGACCGAGATCGTTGTTTCGGGAATAAGCTATGTCGTGTTCGCGACACGCGGCATCCAATGGATTGATACCTCGATCGCTTCTAGCCAATCGTGTTTCTAAGTGAGTTCCCGGTCCGCAAAACTGATAGCCTGGAATATGTAATTCGATAGGAAGTGCGTTTATCGCACGATTTAACAAACCACCACCTCTTATAATTTTTGCTGGCATTTGCCACAATTTTTTATTAACGGTGTTGGACCGTCGATATGTGTTTGCTGCCACGGCAAATTATAATGTCGCGTGCATCGACGATACTGTTGAACCTCTGAGTCAGTTTTTATATGTTCGGGAAGCTTGTCCCACAATTGTTCCACGTAACTATCAAAGTCTCGCAGTAAAACAATCTTGGGTATAATCTGTAACTGCTCGGTGGTAAGCTCGA